TACAGAAATGGTATCGCTGAGCATTTTTCTGCCTCTGAATCTTTTTCAAATCACCTGATTTTCTTACTCTTGAGCAGGACCGAGTGGTTTTGGCACATTAGTGTGCATGTTCGAGGCGCAACATGTCTTTGTGTATGAATGCTGGGCAGTCATAACTGATCTGGGGAAAAACAAGGGGAAACTCCCCCTCGGAAGACTTCTGAACAATGACCGGACCAAGCGCCACCAGCAGCGGCTCAACGGCCAAGAGCAGCAGACACGGGCGGTCCAAGAGCAGCAGTACCTACTGTCACACTACCGGTCCGGCGGCTGAATCCACCGCATCCACTGCCGCGAACAACACCGGCAGGTCTTCCGGCGAGGAAGAGGAGAAAGACGGCGAGGTCCCGTTTTTCGTGAACAGGACGGGCTTTCCCATAGACACTGTCACCTGGGACAGAATGTGGTCACATGTCACCAAAGTTCATCCTGATGGACAGGAGATGGTGGATAGAATACGAAATGCAACACACCTCTCTAAAGTAAGTGGAAAGTAATGGATTATTTATGTAGACTCATTTAAATATCTCAAAACTCAAAGTCCAGTGAGCTGCCTGTCTAGACAACATTTTTGGCGTCATATAGATGTGATGATATGTCTTGAAATATTTGAGACCCCAAAATGTTATCTTGTTAGGAAGCTCATATGTATGATACACATACGTATGCTCCTGTGTGATACGATACACAAAATGTTGATAGACAGCTTAACGCTAGTTATATAATCCCCCAAATGCTGGTACCCTAAAAATGCTTGAAAATGCTTAAATGTCTAAGCAGGCAACGTATTTATAAAATGCCCAAAAAGATTTCTTGTTTGGCAAGTTACTAGGTTTTAAGTGACAGCCACTGAATGTGTGTTTGTACAGATGTCAGTAGAAAATGGATAATGGATATAAAAATGCAGAATGGTCATATGGTATTATCATGTTTCTGGTCATCTTTTAAGTCCAGTAGTTTATAATACTTTTTTTCTTTTTTCTTGGTATATATATATATATATGAAGTTTTTTTTAATAGGTAATGCCATCTGATACATCACTGTTTTTTTTTTTGTCAAAATAATATTTGACAGTACTTAAGTTTGGGGTCATTTGTTTTTTAAAGGGGTCATATGATGCGATTTCAAGTTTTCCTT